GCATGAATGCAGGTTGGGTATCAGAGGTGTTTGCACCGAGATATGGACACATATGTCACTTACACTGAGAAAGTGGAGTGAACTAGGATCAGGAATTGTGGATGTGTGTCTAGCAGTCACTTGTGACTTTTTACATCTTTAAAATAGATTAAGAACCCTTAATCTGCATCTTTAAAGCCCCTTACTCACGTGCTAGGATCCCAATCTCTACTGAGGGTCCTGCGCTTACTCTAGAGTAAGAGTGGAAGTAAAATATTTACTAGACACATATTGAAATTTATGCCTGTTTTGGACACTAGTTCAGGTGGTTTCCTGTAAAACTTCCACTGATTTAGCAGAGTCATGACTTTTCCCTTATTCTCTCTGCTGGGGGGGCTTTTTTTACACTGATGTTTCAGCTGATTAGAGCCCAATAATACACAGTAATCTGTATTTAATTACAAGGCCCACTTGTGTCAGGGCTAAGACTCAAGGTTGTCCTAGCAACAGCAGAAGGAAGTGAGCCTGCTTTTCTCAGCATGGCTAACCACCCAGTTGATTTGGAAAAGAGTAATAGTATTCTATGTATTGCAAGTTATTGAAGAAATGTGATTAAAATGTTTCAGAATGGCATTTGTCTACCACATCTCTGATGTGAAGCTTCCAGATAACTTTTGCTTCTTCCAACCACAATGATTTAGCTTGTCTTGGGGTTCTTTGTTACTTCTTTACTGTGTTTTACATGACTTTAAAAACTTTACATGGCAGTGACTAATCAGCATTCCAAATAAATGCTAAAGTATAGATTGGATGATCTGGTAGAAGGAGTTAGATATAAATACTACCTTAGTGTAGAGTGCATGGCAGGCCCTATATGTTATACAAGCCATTACCAATGAAATAACAGGAATATATACACCAAGACGCAGATTTACCCCATCTAATGCATGGCAGGCCCTATATGTTATACAAGCCATTACCAATGAAATAACAGGAATATATACACCAAGACGCAGATTTACCCCATCTAATGCATGGGCAGTATACATTAGTCCCTATGTGCTGAAACAGGTGCTGCAACCAAATCCAGCCAGTCTGGGATCCCAGTCCAATGCTCTGGTGTTCTTCAGAGAACCACAAACCATATGAAACCAGGTGGCTCCTGATTTTCCATCCTGACCACTGATTGTTTTGTGATTTCCTGGTTTTGCACAATTTCTTCCCTATTCTAAAATGCTAACATCCTCTGCTAAGACTTGGTTACTGGCAGTAAGGTTTTAAGTACTAATTAGCTGTGTGTGGGGGCGGGGGGGGTATTTTTTGGCCCCAACCCTTTTGCTTCCCCCTCCCTTTGCTTCAGGCTCACCTGGAATGCTGTCCCCAAGAGCTTCTCCAAAATGGAATTCAGTCTTGATTTAAAGTTCTTTAACAGACTTCAACCTCCACTTTGCAAGCTTTCATAGGAAGAATTATCTATGTGAGCATCATTGCAGTGAAATGTGGTGCTTAGAGTGTTGGACTAGACATCAGGGAGATCTGGGTTCTAGTTCCCATTTAGCCATGAAGTTTGATAGGTGATTTTGGGTCAGTAACTCAATTTCAGCCTAACCTACCTCGAAAAGTAATTGCTGTAAGGATTAAAGGAAGTAAAGGACAACAAGGCACACTGCTTTGAGTTCCTCGCAAGAAGCAAGATGTAAATGTTGGGCTGCCTACATGTTTTGGAGAGTGAAGGGGCCACGGGGACAATCATAGCTTCTGTATTTCTTCTACCTTCCATCAATTCTCCAAGTATGGAGGGTTGTAGGCAACACACCAGATGGCACCTTTCATGATTATAAGCATCCTTGAGTTAAAACACAGGATACAAATTGTATAAACAAATATGTGCATAAGGTAAGCCCTAGAGAGAACACATTTAAACTTCAGGCTTTAATTAAATAAAAGCTTTTGCCATGCTTTAATATAAATACAAAAAGTGATGTGGTGTTTAAAATAATTGTTACTTGAATGTGAAAGTTAAACCACCGACCTCACAACTGTGAATCAGCATTATGACCAACTTTTAAAAGAGGTATACACCTCCTAGAGATAACAAGGTTAGGGATTCCACTTGAAGTAGAGGACAGAATACAAATGTCAAAATAAATAAAACAAGATTGCTTTGCTCAAGGAGGGTTATCAAGCTTGTCATAAGGCCCATTGCAGTGATTAAGGCTGCAATCTGTGCACTGTAACATGACCCACTGAAAACAGTGGGACATCTCTCTAAATAAATATGCATTTGATTGCACTGTTTACAAGTTCAGCCAAGCCTGATGAACCACCCAATTTCTGGCACTAAACACTATGATAAGCAAACTGAATTGAAAAGTTTTTCTTCTGGGGAATGGCCTCTTGTTTGTAGGCAGCTCCTTGCAAAACACATGCTGTGGGTCATTGCTTTCCATTGCCTTAAAACAAAAGCAGTGATGTTCAGCCTTAGTTGCTCAGGAACTGAATCCACAAAAGGATCCCTACAAATTACAGACTTGTGAAACAAAAGACATATTTGCAGACCTGTGATTGCAAAGGTTATATCCTACAGATATTTACATTTTCAAGTTTATCACATTGTGCAACTGAGGTAAACTCATTTTTTTTCAATAGAACTGAGAATTCAGAATGAGAAAATATATTTTTATAACACAGTCTATGTTTACTTTTGTGTAGTGGTCTATCTGATCTACTCAATTAAATTTAATCAAATGCTTGTTACTTTTATTATCATTATTATTTATTATCATTATTCATAGGAAGGTCCTTTGTTGACCATATTTCCCAATGGAACTTGCATCCCAGTACATAGATAATGTGTGTGAAAGTCACATAGTAGAATTAAGTGGGATTATTATCAGCAAGGAGCTCTTAGGTTGCCCCACCCCTTCAGCCTTACTGATCTTAATCCTTAAGGAAATCTAGAAACATAGCATATGTAGATGTAAGAACAAATCAAGTAATGTGTCAGAGATCTTGGGTTAAGGCTTTGCAAAGTGATAAGGCTTCAGCAGAGACCGATATAATTTGGTAGCAAGGAAAAGAGATCATGTTTACATATTCTCACATATATGGTGACATAACAGCAGTAGAGGATTCCATAGATAGAAGTCTTGCTAGTACATAGTCTATGAGGAGAGTGAAAATGCAGTTTCCTTCAATCAATATAATTTTTGCAGATATAATAACATTGCCTAGCCGGTAGCCATATAAGTGATTAGCGGTATTCCACCATGCAAGTGGTGAATAGAAGCATATACAGCATAGTCAAATCACTCCAAGTTTATGTGAATGACTGCATGATGCATATGTAAACATCTTCCAGCTGAATGCTTGTCCACTCTAAAACAGTTATTCTCTAGGAAAGCAGGTCCAGTATAAACAGAAGTCTAACAAGGCAACGGGCTGAGATGCCAAAATCTCAGGACATCTTGCTACAAGTCTTAGTTAAGGAGGGATGCTGTCTGAAAGGAGGCCATGCAGATATCAACAGGCTAATATATCCTGCATCCCAGGGGCCCTTTGATGTTCATCAGCTGTCTAGCACATATGTATGGTTGATAGGGAAGAAGTAGGATAGACATTAGGGATAGTTCTTGACTGACTTTCCTAGGGCTACCAACAAGCAGACATCATGGTACCCCACCTTTTTCGTGCAAATAACCCAAGGCATTTTACATAATCCACCACCTGTTTCTCCATTTTATTCTTGCAACCATCTTATGAAGTTCAGTTCGGTTACAGGCCCAAAATCACCCAGTAAACTTCATGACTGAATGGGAACTCTCAACTCCCAGTCCAGCACTGACTGACAAGCCGCTCTAGTGTGCTCTTTCTTTCCTTCTTTCCTCTAAACAAATGTTGTGCAGTGAGCAAAACAAAAGAAGTGGTGAGAAAATGCTGGATGGCTATGAATGGAAGATAACATTTAAATCCCCTAGGCAATTCCATCAGTGAGGCAGGGCAATGGCACAATGAAAGTCTTCTCTGAAGGCACCCCAAAACGAACATGGGACTATTTATTACTGTTTCAAGATCACCTACTGTATATGGCCAGCACAAAAAATGTTTTTATTACAACACAATACAACAGCAAAATAATTACAAAAAAGAAGCAGATAAAACGAAACAATAGCACAGAGCAGCAGTAGCAGCATGAGCGACAACCCTAGGAAGCCAAACATCCACAAGCACCTTTTCAGAATGTGTTCAACCCTCGGGGGGGGGGGGTCCCTGAGCGTGGGCATCAGTGCAGTGTCCCAATCATTTAGTGTGCTATTATTATGCTGCAAGGCAATAGGGGAAATATTGGGGTAGGAATACTTTTTAAGCAGGCACCGAATATCCCTCTTCTGCACACAGACAAGCAGAAGAGTTCAAGCGCTCCGGACAGTATGATCGGTACAGGCAGGGAGAAAAACCCCGCGGCATGTTTGCACACGTAGTACACATGCACGCAGTGCTTTCCTGTACTTCTCCGCTCGCCTCTTAAATGTCAGAGCGCTCGGCCCACGGGGACAGGGCTGCTGTGGAGTTGTCAGAGCTGCCACCATTTCAAAGGAGCGTGGTGGAAAAGTCATCGACGGTAACACCCCATCCAGTGATGCGAATCCAGTTTGCGGCTGCTCGACGGTCAGGGGAAGGCGCTCTGTACATCGGCGCCTCGAAGAGCCGAGTTTTTGCGCCCCGAAACCAGGCTCCGGAGCGAGCGACTGTCTCGCCGAGGGAAAGAAATCCCTGGCGTCAGAACCTCTCCGTCCGCCGTGGCTGCCCCGCATCAAAGGCTAGGCAGATGCCCCGCCGTCCACGCCCAGCTGTAAGGAATGAAAAAGGTGCTCGGCCTAATCAGCCAATAATAGGCGCCCAGGGCGGCGGGACAGCCTTGGCTCCTGGCCAATTAGAACGCAGTCCCTCCTCCGTCTCTATTTCAGCAGCTGCAAGCAGCAAAAAGCTCGCAGAGGAGGAGTTTGTTTGAAGCGGTCGTGCTGGTGAGCAGCTCGCTGGGTCCCGCAGGTCGCAGAGAGGGATCGGCGGTTGCGGGCGCGACGGGCGGCCGCTGGCTCCGATGGAGGCTTTCCACCCCAGCCAGCTGGAGAAGCATCACCGCCACCACCACCAGCCCGTGGAGTTTCTGCAAGGCGCCGGCCGGTACGGCGCGAAGAGCCACAGCGCCTACGGGAACGCGTTTAACTCGTGGAATGACTACCTTGGGCTGGCCACGCTGATCACCAAGGCAGTGACCCAGGAGAAGGGCTTCAGGACCGGGCCCTCCTCCGTGGTGGTGGCAGCGACCGTGCAGCAGGTCCAGGCGGCCGAGGAGGGGGACGATGACGAAGAGGAGGAGGATGAGGAGGAAGAAGACGAAGAGGAAGAAGTCGGGACCCAGTATTTCGAGAACTCCCTGGATTTGCGCGACTTCGACTTGTGCAGTCATCACCACCTTAACCCCGGCGAAAGTCTGCTGGAGGAGCGCTTTGCCGATTTCAGCCCCTTCTCGGGCCGATCCAGCCCGGCCTCGGTCGTGTTCAACTGCTCCGCGGATCACCTGGAACGAGATCGCTCGCCGCACGCCTGGGGCGGCCGCCTGGTGGTCGACGGCCGGCTGCAGGCTCCCCAGAAAAGCGGCTCCAGGCTGCTCAAGCCGGAATTGCAGGTCTGCGTCTTCTGCAGGAATAACAAGGAAGCCGTGGCCCTCTACACCACGCACATCCTCAAGGGACCCGATGGCCGGGTCCTGTGCCCGGTGCTGCGGCGATACACGTGTCCGCTGTGCGGAGCGAGCGGGGACAATGCGCACACGATCAAGTACTGCCCCTTATCCAAAATGCACGGCAGCGCCCCCAAACAGCCGCTCAAAACCGCCAGGCACATCTTGGGCAAGAAGCTTCGCTAGGGGGCGCTGCGCGAGCCTTTGGGCTTCGGTGTTTGGAGGGACTGCGGCTGCCCTGGGAGCAAAACCCACAGATGCATCTCCGTTTTTGTTTTCTTTTGCGCGTGTGCCCCCTAAAGGGGAAAAAAGACATTTCCTTTGGGTTTTTTAAAAATAATGCCCTTTAATCGAATGATGTTTCTGCTTAATATATTTAAACACGAAGACGGTAGAATGTACAGAGAGAAATGTTCTTGATTTATGTATCAGATAATCGAGTATAGTTTCTAGTTTGTATATGTAGTAGCCAGGATGCCTGGCCTCTGAATTAACTCTATTAAGAATTATAACATACCATTTAGAGGTACTGTATTTGTTTGTTGTAAAACATATCTAATTTTTAAATGGGATGGACTATATCCTTCAGGAGTATGCTCCAACTGATGTAGCTTTCTTTAATATTAATTTTTGGCTGGGAAAGGAGCATTCTTTTAAAAAGCAAAGAACTTTTAAACAGAGCCTGAAAAGAGCCCTGTAACATGAACTTTGTCTGATTGACATACATATGACCCAAATGAAGATTATTTTTTAGGCGTGTATTTAAATAGGTGGGTCCTACCGTAGCTAAGGAGCAAGGCTTTAAAGGGTACTGGTGAATTAAATGTATTAGACTGACGTTTGTTTCTATTGATGTCTTCAGTGTCTAAGCAATATTTGGTTGTAAAAGTTGAAACTGGAGGTTACAGTTTATGTATGTTTGGGAGACTTATAGTACAGAATTACTCTTTAAACTCCATATTCAAGATTTATTTATAGTCTGTCTTTTTGTTTATCATTCCAAAAACCTCAATTTTTATTCGATACCCCTCCTTTCTTTAAATGGCAATCATCTCCCTATAGCACAGCTGAGATTACTTGGTTGATTTTATAAAGTGGAAGTAAAGGTGTTGCAAAGATTTGACTTGAGCCTGTTTTTTTCCTGTCTTAACTCTACTTCCCTCCCCATCATATACATTTGCACTCTTAAGACCAATGAAGTTGGGGAGCAAGAACGTTGAAACCATGTTTTAGTTATGAAAATATGCCATAAATGCAAGGAATCATTACCCACTACAGATGCCCTTTTGGGAACCAGCCAACTCTCCCTCTGCTTTATTATGGTCATTATGGGGGGGGGGGGGAATGCTGTCTCACTTGAAAACCAATTAGTTGTGATTCTTTCTACACAATGCCTTTAAATCAGGATTACAGTTATCAGTAGCAAAAAGGATGCATGCACTGCATTAATCTTGACTTTCTAAAAATCTGCTTCTAGCCTCATTACACGGTGCAATATGGAAAGTGTGTGAACAAGGTAGAATTGGTGGTGGAAGAAAGATTGAGATGTTAAGTGCTTACTCCATGCTTAACAACTTTCCCAGTTTCAGATACACCTTTGTGTATACTCAGTCCAAATAGGACTGCTTATGTTCTTTAAGCTTCCTAGGTCCAAAAGGCATGAGGAAGACTGCCTTAAGATGTGTTAGGCTCCAGTATATTCTGGGATTCTAGGGGCTGTAGCCCAACACACCTGGAAGGGGACCGGCTTGAGGAAGGCTTTTAAGGGTTTCCAGGACTGCCCTTTGTTGGACTAAGGCCTGCTTACAGTTACTTCGGTTCGCCTTTAATGGGGCTGCTTCTCTGTGGCTCTTAAAATGAGCAACTGCATGTGTAAAGTGGGTGTGCTTATTTTAAAATTTTTAATATAGGCTGCTATTCAAATTACTTAGGATCTGCAATAAAACTAGAATTTACACTGAGACAGACAACCTGAATGAGGGCACTAGCAGTCAGGGGCAACAACAGAGTTTCTTATAATTTCAAAAATGCTCTGAAAATGTTTTAAAATGCTGTAGAAGTACTGTCTGAATCCCTCAAGGACTCCAGAATGTAGAGGTTTTTACTGAAAATGGCCCTGCTCACAGAGGAGACTAACATGATAGAGTTAAGAGCAGAGTTTTGAGAGTCTGGGGGAGCTCATACAAGCTAAGATAGTCCCAGAGATCATTAGGAGTGAAACAGTATGCTGTGATTATATGTGGTCAAAAATCATGGTTCCAACAATTTTCAAAATAATGTGGCAAGATAATAGTATACCCCACTTAGTGTAGGTGAATATACTTTTGCTCCTTGGAATGATGTCTATCTGTTTAAGAATGCAGCAATATTTTAAGATAACTTCCATGTTAGCTTGGAAGTTCCACTCAGTAAAACAGCTTTTTAAAATGCATTTAGATATGCAACTTTCATCTAAATTGATGAATTGTTTGATTTGTGGTAGTTCTACCAAGGTCCAGATCTGCTTTGCTCAGATTAGTGTCTTCCAAATAATGTTGGGCTATAGTGCCTATTATCTCTGACTCTGGGTCATCCTGACTGGGAAGATGAAAGTATTTCTGGAACATCAGGTTGTCCTAAACTGTGTTAATTCCTGGTGGAAGGGCTTTTGCACCTTCTGCAAAAACAAGATTGCAACAGATGTTGATGTTTATCCACAGCATGACTAACTGACCAGGATGAAGAAGGGCTTATGCAAAAAGAAAAAAATAATTTGCCTTCCAGCCTATACTTCAAGCTTTCCTCTCATTTGATTCTCTTTACATTATTTAATGCAATGTACCCTGTTGGCCTTCCCGTTCTTGGATAATAAGATTATTCAAATGGATTTTGCTCCAAGTATATTTAATGAGGCTGTTTGATACCACTAACTGCCTACATACTATAACAAATTATCCATCTGAATAATATGCCACAGAAAATGAACATATTTTAAGTTTATAAGGCCCAGGATCATGAGCTTTGGGGTGAAGGCAGATTAAGAACTTGCAGGCTGAATTTAAATGTGCTTACTTGAAATTAAGACCCCAAAATATCCCAAGTAAACGCACCAGGTTATAGCCTGAGTAAAAAAATAGAAGTTGGGGCTCTGAAAATCCTTATGCATGCCAAATCAAATAGAACGACTTGGTTGCTGGGAGTAGTTACAATATGGAGTGATTTGAAACCTAAATTCAGGATTTCATGGAAAAGATCAAGAAAAGAAATATTCTGGAGGATATGGCTAGTCAAAGCTGCAAGCTAAAGTCTACTCTAAAGAAAGTTGGCTGAATATTGTTGGCTAAAAAAGAAATGCCAATTTTTAAATTATGCTTGAGATTTGTAGACTCTGTTTACTACAAATTGTATCCCTATAGATTCTCTGCAGATGTCTAGATCATCCATTGGACTGTACAGAATACCATAAGTCTAAAGAATAAAGATACATCCAATTTTGGTGATGTGGTAAATTCTAGACTGATGCTTGCTGAATCTTAATTTTTGTGTCAGTTTCCAGAAAGTTACAAGTAACCAGATGTTCATGCATCTAAAACCAACACACTATTAGCAATGCACTCTGTCAAATTGTATGTCATAGCCTGATCCGAAACATGATTTCTTAGAAGTAAATTCTTCTGATATGGGATTGTGTAAGGCTTGTGAGAATAGTAGTAAATTAGGTGGCAGAGGTGTAACTTTTATTTTCTTAATGTTCAGCTGCAGTTCTGCTTTTGCATTTTCTTCTTTCACTCTCATTAGGGGTCATTTCAATTTGTTGCTGTTTTCTGCCAGTAACACATCAACTGCATATTTTATATTATTGATGTCTCTTCTGTATGAGCTCATAATCTTTCCCTCTTCAGTTTGTGGACTTCCTTCCATGTTTGGTCCTGTCTTAAAAGGCAACCCAAGCCAAGAGGAAGTCCCCAAAGGCTTGCAGAACCCCAGTTGTGCAACTGGCAACCTTCTTCATCACAGGTAACAAAGGTTGCAAAACCACATGCATGGAAGAGGAATACCTGTTGCAATGGTTGCACAAGGCTCATTTCCTGGTTAGCCCTGCATAAAGACTTGACATGCTCGCCAGGAACTCAGACTTGCTGGTGCAGAAAGCAGGCCAGAGTCTGGGGAGCCAAACCCAGAGAATTTGACAGATTCATATCCCTGTAATGGATTCTTCACATATCCCTAATCTTCCAACTTTTACCCCTAGCTTTGATCCTAATCAATCAAAAGTATAGCCTTGCCTGATACTTTTGCCTATAGGAAAACATTCTGTTTATCCATATTCTATGCTAACAGTAGAAACCTACCCATGATCGATGAAAAGCAAGTACTGAAGCACAGCCTTTTCTTTCGGAACCATACATTGCTTCTTGTGTGTCACTCATTCCAAGGCTTTGCTGTAGTCTATAAAACATAGATTGATCTTCCTCTGAAATTCTTTGGTACACTCCAGTAGTCAACATATATTTACAATAAGAACTTGAGTGTGTCTCTCTCTTTGGAATCCAGCTTGAATGTCAAGCATTTCTTGCTCCATATAGGGAAATATTTTTTGTTGCAACACCTTGAACATCACCTTGCCTACATGGCTAGGAGCAATGCGTAACATAAAATACGATACCCAAGATAAAAGAGGACACCTCTGACAAATAATCAGGGCTGTTGACATATTCCATCATCAATGCAATACAGTTCCTGAAGATGCCCCTCCCAGAAACAGATGTAAAAAGTGTGCAGAAGTACCTTCTTTTAGCTGTCCTAAATCTCCCGCCAATAAACTTCCACCCTAGGTTCTATTATTATTAGAAATACCTCCTACCCATTTTGTATGTCTCTGTCCTACTGTCCCTGACTTCCTGCTTTTCCTAAGCTGAACAATGCCTGTTTCAAAGGTCATATGCATTGAATATGGATAGTGGCAGATTATTTGTGCAGATTATCAATAGACATTGCTCCTTGTCTGCTCTTGAAGATGGTCCAGAAACTTCAGCTGTTACAGAACAGGTTGGTGCAGCTGCTGGACTTTGCGCCCATGTGACACCAATACTTTGCCATCTTCATTGGTTACCAATGAGCTCTGGCCCCAATTAAAGGTGCTTGTCTTAACATATAAAGCCTTAATTGGCATGGGACCAGGGTACCTGAAGGACTGCCTGCTCCCATATGTAGCTACCTGGCCCCTAAGATCTGTTTTGGAGGCCTTTCTGAAAGAGCCATCCTCCAAGGAAGTAAAGAAGATGGCTAATAGAAAAGGGGCCTTCTCAGTAGTTGCACCACACTTGTGGAATGGCCTCCAGAAAGCAGTTTGTGCCCTTGCTACAATCTTTTCAGCACCAGGCAAAAACAGTTTTATTCTCTTTGAGAATTGATTTTATTTGGATAATGTGTTAATATGAACCATTTTATATTAATGTGCCCTCAGCTGTGCACTGATTTGATATATTGGCTGTACAATGTACTTTCAATTGCTGTTTTAATTGTTATATGTTATATGGATTGTAATCCACTTAGAGGGCCTTTGATCTGATTCAGTGGATAAGAAGTCTAAAAGTAAATAAATAAATAAATAAATAGTCACTTGGACACTTTGCATGTTCCTGGTTCCAACTGGAAAACCAAAGAACAGTGCCCCTTGCCATGGATTTTATACAGTTCCTCACCCCATCTATTTCAGAAGCTAACAATATACACAAACTATACATCCTGGGAGACAAGAAAATAAGGGTGAGAGAAGGCCTGTTTATCCCAATTAACACCAGCAAAAGGGTATGCAATCACAATTCACAGTACCTGTTAGCTGGTGATCTCATACCTTTATTGAGGTTCTACAGGATTCTCATATAAATTAAGCCTAACAAATATCTTTGGCTAGACCACAGGCATGTACTTAACACTTAATTCCTTATGTCTCCTGGTTTTTGATCTCAAATATTTCTCAGAGCAGCCACACACTGGTGGTTGCCATTTTCATTGAGCTATCCAAGTTTTCTTAGTCAGATCCCATCAGCCTACATTTGAGGTTTCTTCTCCTTGTTCCAACATGTATTATTTCACACTTGCTTACAGTTGAACTGAATTT